GGGTTCAGGCAATTCTCCTGCCTCAGCCTCCTGAGTAGCTGGGATTACAGGCACGCGCCACCATGCTCAGTTGATTTTTGGTAGTTTTAGTAGAGACGGGGTTTCACCATGTTGGCCAGGATGGTCTCGATCTCTTGACCTCGTGATCCACTCGCCTCGGCCTCCCAAAGTGCTGGGATTACAGGCTTGCACCATGCCCGGCCAGTTTTTGTATTTTATGTAGAAACAGGATTTTACCATGTTGGCCAGGCTGGTGTCGAACTCCTGACCTCAAGTGATCCGCCCACCTGGGTCTTCCAAATTGCTGAGATTACAGGTGTGAGCCCTAATGGTTCCTTTAACACCCATGTGACCAAAGCAGGCGATCAGCTCCTGCCTCCCACTTATCTCTAGGTTTAGGTTTGTTTTCAGAGCTTGGGAGGAAGATTCCTCACTGTTCTTCATTTCTACCGATGACTCATCAGATGAAATGAGTCAAGCCCTTGGAAGAAGGGTATAGGTCAGACTTCAGGAAGCCCTGTCCTGAGTGGAGATGGTTAAGCCTGGGAAAGGGGAGAATACGGCGGTTTTGTGTGTGATTTTCATTTCAGGCAGGAGGGCTACATGATGTCAGGAACAGCTAATTGGAAAGCAGGAAGGCTGGCTAATACGGACTTTGGGGATTCTAAGGGGAGAATCTCGCCAAACCATATGCCTATGATGTCTACCCACTGGAGCTAGGGAAGAGGGATGCTCAGACACGCAGGTCTTTTCTGCATTGTTCTGCCTGCATCTCTCACCTATTGCCCCCGCTCCTGCCCTATTCAGACTGCACTTAAAAACAATACAAAGGCTGGGCGTGGTGGCTCACGCACACCTGTAATCCCAGCACTTTGGGAGGCCAAGGCGGGTGGATCACCTGAGGTCGGGAGTTCCAGACCAGCCTGATCAACATGGAGAAACCCTGTCTCCACTAATAATACAAAATTAGCTGGGTGTGGTGGTGTACGCTTGTAGTCCCAGCTACTCAGGAGGCTGAGGCAGGAGAATCGCTTGAACGCAGGAGGAGGAGGTTGCAGTGAGCTGAGATCACCCATTGCACTCCAGCCTGGGCAACAAGAGAAAAACTCCTTCTGGGGGCGGGGGGAGGGGAAGCAGGTTCATATACATACATATATATATATATATATTTGTTATTATTATTATTTTAAGACAGGGTCTCTCTCTATTGCCCAGGCTAGAGTGCAGTGGTGCAACCACAGCTCATTGCATCCTCGACCTCCTGGGCTCAAGGGATTCTCCTGCCTCAGTCCCCTAAGTAGCTGTGACCACATGTGCATGCCACCATACCCAGCTAATCATTTTTTCTTTTTTTTTTGAGACAGAGTCTCACTCTGTCACCCAGGCTAGAGTGCAGTGGCATGATCTCGGCTCACTGCAACCTCTGTCTTCGATTCAAACGATTCCCCTGCCTCAGCCACCCGAGTAGCTGGGACTACAGGTGCGCACCACCATGCCTGGCTAATTTTTTGTATTTTTAGGACAGACGGGGTTTCCCCAGGTTAGCCAGGATGGTCTCAATCTCCTGACCTTGCAATTCACCTGCCTCAGTCTCCCAAAGTGTTGGGATTACAGGCGTGAGTCACCTTGCCAGGCCTCACCCAGGCTAATCTTTAAAATTTTTGTAGAGATAGAGTCTCACCATGTTTCCCAGCCTGTTCTTGAACTTTTGGGGATCCTCTCACCTTGGCTTCCCTAAGTGCTGGGATTACAAGCATGACCCATTGCACCCAGCCTGGTCCATCTCTTAGGTTTCATGTCCCTTCTAGTCACTAACTTCAGTGCATAGTACCCCTCACCTTCCCCCAAGGTGTTGCCCCAGCCTCTTAGAAAAGTTCCAAACTAGCTGGGCACAGTGGCTCACGCCTGTAATCCCAGCACTCTGGGAGGCCGAGGTGGGTGGATCACGAGGTCAAGAATTCGAGACCAGCCTGGCCAATATGGTGAAACCCCCGTCTCCACTAAAAATACAAAAATAATTAGCCTGGCGTGGTGGCACACACCTGTAGTCCCAGCTACTCAAGAGGCTGAGGCAGAAGAATTGCTTAAGCCTGGGAGGGGGAGGTTGCAGTGAGCCAAGACTGCGCCACTGCACTCAAGCCTGGGTGACAGAATGAGACTCCATCTCAAAAAATAAAAAAGAAAAGGTTCAAACCTCAGGGTTTGGCTCCTCCTCAGCTTTCAGAGCCCCCACTGGTTGCTCCCTCAGCACAGCCTGGCCCTTTTCTGTCTTAGCTCAGGAAATAACCCTGGAAGATGGTGGCCATGAAGACCTTCACTCCAATGCTGCTGTCCCTGTTCCTGGCAGTGGGACTAGGAGAGAAGAAAGAGGGTCACTCCAGGTAGGAGTGGTGAGAGGGAAGGGATGGGGTAGAGAAGGGGCTGGGGGATGACAGGTTCCAGATTTGTTTCAAGGGGGAGGTGAGAAAGGGAGGGAATCTAGACTAAGAGGTAGGAAGCTCCAGGGAAATACCTGCTGGAGGTGTGAGTGCAAAGTGAGCACTGAGCCAGAGAGGCTTTACTGTGTGCCACTGTTACACTGAGAGAAAACTGTGGGTTGTTCTCAGGAGGGACTTCCTCGTGGCTAATTGTCTGAAGATGACAGAATCTCCCTTCCCAGTGAATGCTTTAACTATTCATTTATGCATGTTTGCTTCTTTTCTTTTTAATTAATTATTTATTATTATTATTTTTTGAGATGGAGTCTCTCTCTGTCTCCCAGGCTGGAGTGCAGTGGCATGATCTCGGCTCACTGCAACCTCCGCCTCCCAGGTTCAAGCAATTCTCCTGCCTCAGCCTCCCAAGTAGCTGGGACTACAGGCATGCACCACCATGCCCTGCTAATTTTTTGTATTTTTTAGTAGATATGAGGTTTCCCTATGTTTCACTCAGCCTCCCAAAGTGCTGGGATTATAGGCATGAGCCACCATGCCTGGCCAATTTTTAGTTATTATTATTATTTTTTTCCTGAGAGGCTTCTTCTGCCTCAGCCTCCTGAGTAGCTGGGATTTACAGGCGTGCACCATCACGCCCGGCTAATTTTTATATTTTTAGTACAGACAGGGTTTCACCATGTTGGTCAGGCTGATCTCGAACTCCTGACCTCCTGATCCACCCGCCTCAGCCTCCCAAAGTGCTGGGATGACGGGCATGAGCCATGGTGCGCAGCCCTTTTTTTTTTTTGAAATGGAGTTCTGCTCTTTGCTCTTGTTGCCCAGGCTGGAGTGCAATGGTGTTATGTCGGCTCACCGCAACCTCTGCCTCCCAGGTCCAAGCAATTCTCCTGTCTCAACCTCCCGAGTAGCTGGGATTACAGGCATGTGCCACTATGCCCGGCTAATTTTTATATTTTTAGTAGAGATGGGGTTTCTCCATGTTGGTCAGGTTAGTCTCGAACTCCCAACCTCAGCTGATCCACCTGCCTCGGCCTCCCAAAGTGCTGGGATTACAGGCCTGAACCACCTCACCTAGCCCTCTGATCCCTTTTTGCCCAGAATCCAGAGCCATACACACTGAGGCTATAGGAAGTGCACCCTGGAGCTGAAGATAAAGCCTGGGGTGGGGGGAGTGGACACATTGACCACAGGGAGTCTCCATAAAAACAGACTGGTTTGTTTTCGAGTGAGTGACAGTCATTCACCCTGGCATTGTGATTTTCCTCCCACTTCTGCCCCCTTCTCTGCACCCTTGATTCCAGTCTTCTCCCCTCCCTGCCTCTCGGATCTCATGCTAGGATGAGCAGCCCTCAACCTCGAAGCCCCAGGTACGCCGAGGGGACTTTCATCAGTGACTACAGTATTGCCATGGACAAGATTCACCAACAAGACTTTGTGAACTGGCTGCTGGCCCAAAAGGGGAAGAAGAATGAGTGAGTAGTTAATTGCACTCCTCCTGTTCCCTGTGCCAGGCTCTGTCTTCGTAAGTTCAGAGGAGGCCACCAGCTGTGGCCACATAGGCCACATGGGCCACATGATGCACAACCCCAGGTGTCACCTTTCACCAGGCAAGGATGGGAGTTAGACATTGTAGCTGGACCCTGACTTGGGCAGCAGTCCAGGCTAGGTGTAGAACCAGGGCTATTCCCAATCCTTTACTTCTTTTTTGTTTTTTTTTTTTTGAGACAGAGTTTCGTTCTTGTTGCCCAGGCTGGAGTACAATGACTTGATCTCGGCTCACCGCAATCTCTGCCTCCCAAGTTCAAGTGACTCTCCTGCCTCGGCCTCCCAAGTAGCTGGGATTACAGGCATGAGCCACCACGCCTGGCTAATTTTGTATTTTTAGTAAAGACAGGGTTTCTCTGGCCGGGCGTGGTGGCTCAAGCCTGTAATCCCAGCACTTTGGGAGGCCAAGGCGGGTGGATCACGAGGTCAAGAGATCGAGACCATCCCGGCCAACATGGTGAAATCCCGTCTCTACTAAAAATACAAAAAATTAGCTGGGCATGGTGGCGCGTGCCTGTAATCCCAGCTACTCAGGAGGCTGAGGCCGGAGAATTGCCTGAACTCAGGAGGCGGAGGTTGCAGTGAGCCGAGATCGTGCCATTGCACTCCAGCCTGGGTAACATGAGTGAAACTCCGTCTCGAAAAAAAAAAAAAAAAGACAGGGTTTCTCCATGTTGGTCAGGCTGGTATCTAACTCCCAACCTCAACTGATCCACCTGCCTCAGTGGTAGGTGGATTGTTTGAGCTCACGAGTTCGAGACCAGCCTGGGCAACATGGTAAACGAAAAGTACAGAAGTTAGCTGGGAGTGTGATTACAGTTTCAGCTACTCGGGAGACTGAGACGGGAGGATGGCTTGAATCTGGGAGGTAGAGGTTGCAGTAAGCCAAGATGGTGCCACTGCACTCCAGCCTGGGCGACACAGTCAGACCCTGTCTCACAAAAATAAATAAATAAAATAAAATAAAGAATGAAGATCAACTGCCCTCATCCTTCTCCCCGCTCTATGCCAAGTCTCTTTCCCTACCTCTCTTACCAGCATGGTAGATTTTGAAACGCTGCACTGGCAGAGGCAGCTGAAGGCCAGCGGTGTGGGGTTGAGTGGAGAAAGGTACCCTCCGTTTTCGGGGTTGAGGTACTAAAAAATTCAGGTGTCCCTAGACTGGAGTCTCTGCAGCCCGCCCACTCTAATCTGTACCTTCCCAGCTGGAAGCACAACATCACGCAGAGGGAGGCGGAGGCACTAGAGCTGGCCAGTCAAGCTAATAGGAAGGAGGAGGAGGCAGTGGAGCCACAGAGGTGAGTCAGGGCGCAGAGGGAAGGGAGGGAGCCGAGCCTCCCGCCCCACCCCTACCTCGTTGTTCCCTCTCCCTGACCCAGAGCAGGGCAAGGACCTGTGATAAGCATCCTCTTCCTCTCAGAGTTCAAAGAGGGGTCTTCACTGAGCAAACTCCTGGAGGTCAGCCGGAGCTTAAGGAAGAAGCCTTGGAGGAACAGGGGAGGGGTGCTAGGAGGAATTTCAGGGACAGGGTTTCTAAGATTGATGACTTCATGCATAGCAGAGTCCCTGTCAGGAGAAGGCTGGGAAAGAAGAGACTCAGGTCCTGGCCTTGCCACCTCAGGAAGGCTGCTTGTGAAAGAAAGGGGGATCTTCCCTGGCTTACTCCCCTGAGTGAGTGCCATTCAGTTATCCCCTCTCTGCATGGCACTGGTCATTTCAAAGAGTGAATGTACCCAAAGTACTCTCTGCATTCTGCAACACTTGCAGAGGTGGATGGGCGGAATATTTCACACCAGAATTCTGTTTGACTCTTTCTGCGTGAGGGGTCCGTATTCCCCAGGCAGGCCGCGCTGGATGGGACTGGCAGAAAGAAGGCTCCAGATCTCATAGCTGAGCCAATGGAGAGGCAGCTGTGTTTGGCTCCCCCGCAATCCCCCAGTGGCTGCCCCCCCGGTGCCCCAGCCCCATGTTTACTCTCTCTGGGTGAGGCCCAGGCTCAAATAGTCAGCCAGAGGCTGATCCCTTGCAGGTCCCCACCCAAGAACCCCAGCAATGAAGATTTGCTTCGGGACTTGCTGATTCAAGAGCTGTTGGCCTGCTTGGTGGATCAGACAAACCTCTGCAGGCTCAGGTAGGGGAGCGTGGTGCCACACAGCGGTTCTAACTTGAGCTTCGGTAACAGACATAGATTCAGATCTTTGCCCCTCCACGTGCTGGCTGATTACTAGCCTTTCCGAACCTCAGTGTTTTCATTAAAATCAGAGGTATAGAATCATTTCAAGGGATTGTTGTGA